CTCCTGCAGCTCTCTTCTCTGAAGTTGTGTCTTCTCTCTGTTGACACCGTCGCCTTGGTCATCCGCACGAGGCGTGTTCTTCATTCTATCCTTCAATCTCACACTGTGTCATGCATGTCCTCTTGGCAAATCCTCCAGACTTTCCCTCATACCCGTCCTCTTCTAGTCGTAGTTTGGCTCATTTGGGTTTAAATTTTAGTGATGTTTGGGGCCCATCGCCATTTCTTTCCCATGAAGGTCATAAATATTTTGTAATCTTTATTGATGACTTTTCTAAGTTCATTTGGTATTTTTCCATATTCAATAAATCTGATGTGTTTCATATTTTTCACACTTTCAAAACTATGGTGGAACGACAGTTTTCTTGCAAAATTAAAATTATGCAAATTGATTGGGGTGGTGAATATTGTAAACTAAATTCATATTTTCAAACCTTGAGTATTATTCACCGACTTTCATGCCCACATACGCATTAGCAAAATTGTTCGGTTGAATGCCGTTATCGTCACATTGTTGAAACCGGTCTTACCCTTTTTGCTCATGCTTCTATGCTGCATAAATATTGACATTTTGTGTTTGACACTACCGTCTACCTCATTAACCGAATGCCCTCTAAAGTCATTAACAATCTCTCACCCATTCAATGCTTGTTTTCAAAATTGCTCGACTACAAATTTAAAAAATTTTTGGCTGCCTTTGTTTTCCTTTTCTTCGTCCCTATAACACCCACAAAATTTCTTTTCGATTCACTCTTTGCGTGTTTCTTGGGTATAGTCCCTCTCATCGTGGCTATTATTATCTTGACACCTCCACCGGTCGTCTTTATATTGCCCGACATGTTCGGTTTAATGAATCCACCTTCTCTTTTTCCACATCATCTGCCTCTTCCACCCAACCCGACACACCCACCTTCACACCCTTTTGTTATGTACATACTCACGTGTCCCTATCCCATTTCTCACCTTAATCTACTGGTGCACCACGACCCCACCCACACCCATTTGTCCCGTCGTTTACACCTCTTCCCGCTGCTACTTCTCCTCCACGCTCACCACTTGCAGCAGCTCTACCCATAGGTGCCTCTGTTGCATCCCCCATCCCATCATCTGCCTCTCCTGTCCCGTCACCCCTGCCTCGTCCTCTCTTCAACACACCTGTGGCCTCAATCTCATAGTTGACCTCAACTCATCACCCCGACCCCCTCCATTCCCCACCGAACTCACCCTATGGTTCTTCGGAACATGTTGACCAACCCCAATGCCTTCTTTGCCACGTCTGTTTCTGCCGACTCGGTTGAACCCACATGTTTCACTTCTGCCAACACATCTCTCATTTGGCGCACTGCTATGACTGAGGAACTCAATGCATTAATCTGTAACGGCACTTGGAGCTTACATCCGGTCACTCCTGGTATGAAAATTGTTGGCTGTAAATGGGTCTTCCGGATCAAACGTCGGGCTGATGGTTCGGTTGAGCGCTATAAAGCGTGCTTGGTTGCCAAAAGTTTTCATCAACAAGAGGGGCTTGATTATTTTGAAACATTCAGTCATGTGGTTAAACTCACAACTATTCGCCTCGTTTTGTCTCTTGTCGTTTCCAACAATTGGCCCATTCGGCAACTCGATGTGCACAATGCTTTTCTTCATGGGTATCTTCAGGAAGATGTCTACATGCATCAACCACCTGGGTTTGTCGATGCCACTAATCCATCCTTTGTCTGCAAGCTTCACAAGTCTTTATATGGATTGAAACAGGCTCCACGTGCGTGGTTCTCTCGTCTCACGGATTTCTTGCTTCAACTTCAATTCACAGCCTCAAAATCTGATAGCTCGTTGTTTGTGTATCGATATGATGGTATTGTGATTTACATTCTTATTTATGTTGGCAATATCCTCATTACCGAGAATTCCACCTCTTCTCTTCAGCAGCTCATTCATAAACTAAGCCGTGAGTTCTCCCTCAAAGATCTTGGTGCTTTGCATTACTTCTTGGGCATTGAAGCTTGCAAACACTCTCACGGTCTATTACTCTCTCAACGCAAATACATCCTGGATCTCTACCATAAATCAGGATTGCTGCTTGCCAAGCCCGTTCAAACACCTTTCTCTACTACCACCGAGCTCACTTCAGCAACTAGCACTCCTGTGAAGGACCTTTCCCATTATCGTATGATGGTCGGATTCTTGCAATATCTTACTTTTACTCGCTCGGACATTTCCTTCTCCGTCAATCGAGTATGCCAATTTATGCACTCTCCCACCGAAGACCATTGGCGGGTTGTCAAACGGATCCTTCGGTACCTCAAAAGATACCTCTCATTATGGTCTCTTACTTCAACCCACTTCTTCTACCCGTCCTCAAGCTTTTTCCAATGCCGATTGGGCTGGTTCTATTGATGATCGCAAGTCCACCGATGGTTATGCAATCTATCTTGGTGATAATCTAATTTCATGGTCTTCTCGTAAGCAACAGACATTGGTGCAATCCTCTACCGAGTCTGAATATAAAGCCTTGGTTGATGCTTCTGCCGAAATTTCTTGGCTACAATCTTTACTCACTGATCTTGGCATTCGGTTATCCTCTTCCCTAATTCTCTAGTGTGATAATCTTGGCGCCACCTACTTGTCTGCCAATCTGGTCTTCCATGCGCGGACCAAATATGTTGAAATTAATTTTCATTTTGTCTGGGATAAGGTTGCTCGTAAGGATCTCCAAATTTAATTTATCTCTACCAAAGATCAGATCGTCAATATTTTTACTAAAGGATTACCTTCCCAATCCTTTCTTTTCTTTCGGGACAAGCTGTAAATTCGCTCATTGGAATGTTTTGCTTGAGGGGGGGGGGGCTGTTGAGATATGCTTCCCATATCAGATATACATCCATGATTCTATCCTTATCATTATTTGTACCTATCCTTATCTCATACCATGTATAAATAGAGTAGAATAGTCATGGAAATAATGTAATACAAAAACTATTTTCAGTTTAAACTCAATGAAAATGTTTACAGCAGGTTGCTCAAGTACATCTTACATAGGGTTGGGCGTCATGTCATGTTAGGTCATGTTTGTACAATGTCATTTCGGATTTTGTGTCAGAATTACCTAAACTCTAACCCAACTTATTTATTATATTGTGTTATCACATTATGTCATTTTTAGTTTGTGTTGTGCCAACAATTTTCACCCTTAGTTAAAAATAGTAAGTGTACGGACTCCACAAGTTAAATTTAATGAAACCAATCTCTAATGAAACTATTCATATAAATATTTGATTTTAACTCAATTCCATTTTCCTAATTTACAAAAACTATATCCTATTATTATATTTTTTTTACTAGATTAAGTGCCTGTTTGGCAGAAATTATTTACAGCTTATTTCAGCTTTCAACTTAATTTAAGTTATTTTGATGTGTTTGGTTTAGCTTATAGCTTATAGCTTTGTGGAAGTCAGAAATCAGCTTATTCTTTGAGTGGGGCAGGAGATGCTTTAAGAATAATCTGGAAATCAGCTTAAGCTGAAAGTTATAAGCTATAAGCTGTTTAGGCAAAAGCTATAAACACTTTCCCACAGCTCTACCAAACAGGGCTTAACTCTAAAATAGTGGACAAAAAATACATTATCTTCAATTAAAAATATTAAAATCCTATTGTACATATCTTTTTTATTAGCAAGATGGAATTACATTAAAAAATAAAAAAAAAATAATTGTCATGACACCATTAGTGAAAATAACATTAAAATGTGTTAGTAATTTTCCATTAAATGGATTATTTATATCAACTTTATATTATTTAGATTCAACACTAACATTAACGTATTTAATAATCGTGTTATTAGGTTGTATTTATTTATCTAAGTGTCAGAAAATAATAAACCTAACCCACTACATTTGTGTATGGTTCAAGTGTTGTTATCATGTTGTATCCAAAATTCCCCTTATACAAACATATACATATATATATATATATATGTATATATATATCTGTAGGTGTGCATTTAGATATCGCAGGACTACAATTCCATTTGATGAAGGACACAAATGAGGGTAAAAACCCAATACAAACTGTCACTGTCATGTCACTACAAGAATTAATACTTTTGCCGACCAAAAAATTGGTCGCTAAAAGCCCATTTTTGGTCGGTAAAAGTTATCTGCGACCAATTTTTTTGGTCGCTACTTTGGTCGCCAATTGAGGGTCGGCAAAAGTAATTCGCGACCAAAATTTTGGTTGGTCGGGAAAAGTCGGATTTGCCGACCAAATTTTTGGTCGCGAAATATATCATTACCGCGACTAATTCATTTAGTCGCTAAAACACTTTGGTCGCGAAAAGTGAAATTTTCCCGACCAAAAAGTTTGGTCGCCAATTATCACATTCAACAACCAAAAATTTTGGTCGCCAATCGTGACATTCCGCAACCAAAAAATTTTGGTCGCCAATCGTGACATTTCGCGACCAAAAAGTTTGGTCGCCAATTGTGACATTCTACGACCAAAAAAGGTTTTGGTCGCCATTTGTTACTTTTCGCGACCAAAACTTTTGGTCAGCAAAAGTGAGTTTTCACGACCAAGAGCTGTTTTGGTCGGCAATAGATGTATTTTTTGCGACCAAAACTCTTGGTCGGCAATTGTCATTTTTTGCGAAAAAAAATTATTTATTTGTCGCGACTAATAAATTGGTCGCCAAAGCAGGAAAACAATACACCTGTAATTCCTAACTATTCATTCAATCCATAATAAACCTATAATTTTAAAACATCATTCAAATTAACTAAATCATTAACATTCAACACAATACATAATTCATTAACATTCGACACAATACAACTATTCAAGTTTTCATTCACAAGTCACATCCATCTAGCATAACAAATTGAAACATAACTATTTGTTATTCATGCGCAGCTATCAACAAATAAAACTACTAATATTTGTTATCCATACACATCCATCCAAAAATATTTAATCCTCCCAAAAATGCTTATAGTCTTGTACAATGCTTCGTGCACGAGATCATCCATCATCCATCATCCATCTATACCAAAGAAAATGAGAAATAATGTTAGGCTTGTTTTTAATGAAAATATTTGAAATGGGTAATTAAATTAGAAATTTCAGAGAATCGTAAGTTCAAATCAAAATTTCTAACTCATTTGCGGTAATTAAATTGTCAATTTCAGAATATAAGCTGCTAATTACAAATTTGAAATGGGTATTAACAGATTGGACAATGAGACCTTTTTTACACAAAGAAAAGTGCAAGGTTCATATATGGTCATGGCAAACATAATCAAGCTTGACAAGCATATACAGACATAGAAGATTACTACAATGTTGAAAACAATCTTCCTCTTATTTATGGTTTTTTCTATTTTTTCGTTTCTTTTCTTTTCTTTTTCTTTGTTTATGGTTTATTTGTTTCTCCTTATGTAGTTACTTCAAAGGAATGTTATATAACAAAATTCAGGATCACTTCCATCTTTCAAATCCAAGTAACTTACATATTTGACGTTGCTTTTGAGAATCCATAAACATGGATCTTTGGCAAGGTAATTTCTCTCTACTTGGGCTTTGTTCTAAATATTCCCCTGAATACATCTGCAATAATTGGGCAAAATATTGAGAGAGACAACAATTGAATGCTAGTGTCTGCAATTTTGAAAATCGCAACATATTCTGTGGTTTCCATTATCTTCTCCATTCCTTGTATAACTCCAACACCTTCTCCACTCTTTTCTATATGACATTCAGGTAATAATTTTGAATGACTAAATTACTAATCATAGCGATTTCTTTGAATCTTTAAACTGTTGCCATCCAAGTGCCACATGCTGATGGAACTTAACTTTTTACAATCCTAAGAGAAATGCATAATGAAGACTGTTCACTGAATATAATCTTACTTCCTCATAAGAGGTCCCCAATAAACACATCTCAAAAATCCTTTTTTCAAAGTGATTATGAAGGAGTTAACCAGAGCCAAAGTAGGCCATAGCAAAGTACCTTACTCAGCTAGCCAGAATAAGAATCCTATACCTAATGTTGTAATGCTATTCCCAGGGCTTCTGTCCCATGATAAATTCACAAGAAACGTTAGCCACCTTGAAACTATATCACATCATATGTCCTATTTAAAATTTAATACATCAATTTCTAAGTCCAAGGATAGAACTCAATAAGTAATTATTACCATCTAAATCCTTCACAATACATCACCTAGTAAGTAGCATTTAAAATGGTAGCACGGTAAAATGGAAAAGCTATACGAGCAACTCTCAATATTTAATTTCAGAATACAAAACTTCACTGCTGAAAGAAGAAGAGAATTTATGCTTTATCAGAATAATTACATACCTAGATACTCTGCAGCGTCATTTGGCAAATTCATAACCACTTGTGTGATGGATTGAGCTTTTTGACTTGCAAACATAGCATCAATGAACCTCCTTCCATCCATGTTAAAAACCTAGACATACAAAAACAAAATAATTAAGCCCACATGATACAACTTCGTCGAATGCAAGTTGCAGATATATAAATATACACACTTTCTAAATTGAAAAATGAATCTATGAAAACCATTAAACAATAATTGCATGACAAGCTAAATTCATACTTCTATCTTCCTCTCAAGTTTGTTGAGGACACAATTCCTTTCCAGATATTCAACCGCAAAGGGGTTTAAATCATTAGCAAATACGTGTTTCACTTTTCTTGCTGCAGATATAGTAACAGATTTTTGTAACAGATTTTTGGTAACAAATTCTAAACATTCTAAACAGATTTTTGTAACATATAAAATTTCACCATTGTCCATTGCATATAGATAAAACCAAAAGAAAAAACAAAACAAGATAAAACCAAAAGAAAAAACAAAACAAGAAGTTAAATGTTTGAAACCTGATCAGTCATGATCATCAAATGACCATATCTCAGAGTCTTTACACTGTCATACTGTTTTCCATGCTGAAGTCCAACAATCTGCTTGATGCTCGTGATTTCAGCGTTCTCCATGATCTGTTTATGGCTTGCTTCCCTTACATTAAGCAATGTACCTCTCAACGGGAACACACCATAATAATTTCGACCCACAACAGAAATTCCTGCCATCTGTATATACTCAAATCAGTTAAAAACTCTAAAACAAAACCAAGATCATGTCTTTTTCTTTTCAGTTTGTTAGTTTCACGTGAATTTGAAATTTAATTCAGTACACATTTTAGAATCATGTTTATAATATCAACATATAGGCTATAGCAATAAGAATGAGTGACAATTGATACCTGGAAAGATGACACTAATCTTAGGAATGATAAGACACTCAATTTGTTTCATTCTTCCAAGAATTGAGCATTGAACTCTGTTTTTAGCTTCAAGCCTTCTTTCCTAGTTTTACTCTACATTTACCATATCACTACATAATCAACCCAATTTCAAAATTTAAAAGAATTCAACCTCAATCATAACAAGTGTCTACAAGCATAATTGCTTAGTGAACCTTTGTATTGGTTGATACAAGCATACATGAAAATATAGACCATCAAACATGTATATAGATAATTGTGGCAAGATATATGCATTTAGCACTTGTCTAATTCCCCTATATAGCTTTTCAAATTCTAGATTTCAAGAAACAAACATGATGGTTTAAACACTGGTAAGATAGGCAATTTATGCCCTCTGAAGATAATACTAAAAATGATAATTATAATGAACAACTCATTCCACTCCTCATCACGGCGAAATCACACTAAAGTAGTAAAGTACTAGTATTTCAGCCTCTAGGCACTGTTATCTATTCTATGCTAATTAAAATTTCTACCAATTCTGTTCATGCAAAGTAATGATCCTAAACAAGACAACCCAAAGTCAGAACCAAAAGCGATCAATTCCTTGACCAGTGTTGTCACTTGTCAGAATGCAAATTCAGCATACTGCAGTCATCATCAATTCCTCAAGAGCTCAGTATCGAATAAAAGATCAAATTCCCAATCCACCAATCAGAGATTCCCATGTGGGTTTTGGATTTCAATTTGAAGATACCACCTTAACTCATAAGCTTAAGAAAAAACCCAAAAGAACTCCATATATACAATCAATTTGTCAAACCTCTTCAAACCTCTTAAAAAGAACATGATGGATTTGAAATCTGTCAAACCTGCGCTACAAAACATGAGAAAATTCCATATATACAGTTAATAGATATTGTTGTATTTCTTTATGTAGAATGGAGCTGTTTACTGTTTTTGTGTTGGTACCTCAAATATGGAACTGGTTAGGCTAAACTCTAGTGGTTTGTCTACACATTCAACTGGAGTGTCATGTGATCTGCTGTGTAAATCTATCCAGGTGCCGTGTCCGCCTGCTGTTAATGTCTATAAATTCTGGTTTGTGTTGTGTTTGCTTTAGTTTAGCTGCTATGAATAGCTGCCCAGGTGCTGTGTGGGAGTGTGTCTTTGCCTTGCTGCTGTTGATTCTGCCTTGCTACTGCTAGCTCTGTTTTGCTGCCGAGTGTTTTAATGGTTATGGAAATTGTGATGTCAAGTACACGTAAAACTCTATAGTGCAACTCATAAACTAATAATGGGGATTTTAGTTATTATTTAACACAATAGTCTATGGCTGCTATCCTGACTTGTAGAAACACTAACTTAAAATATTTGAAGTCTCCAATGTATTTTTTCCACCATCAGATCTATATATAGCTAAAACTTGAAATATGCTTCATATCAAGCACTATAATACACTGTCTACATAAAGAGATTGGCTAGAGAGAGATAATGAAAACCTTAAAATTAGGAGCATTTCTTCTTATATTGATCACATTTCTTGTAACATATTTCTTCTTCAACTCTTTGATCTTGCTTCCATGTTCTCAACTCAACGTTCTGTGGCTGCTATCAGAAGGTGGGCTGAAGACCAACATGGATCCAATTTGCTTGTGCCTATGCTATAATGGTTTAATGTTGCCCCTTCCAAAACCAGGTCTTTTGGCTGGTTCGCTTGGTAATGGAGGGTGAAAACAACTGTCTCTTCATCTCTTGCATCAATAGAAAAAGAATAACCACTTTGATTGTTACTAGTATAAATGTTTGGATTACCATATCGATATGACACATACATAGAATCAATAAATCCAAAGCCAGATATTTTACAGTCATAAAACCAAATATACATAGAATCAATAAATCCAAAATGAAATCTCGAAGTGATTGTATATTCCTCACCACTTGTAGAATCCTAAACTTACTTGTAGAATCCTAAAACATCCTCATGCTTCAGTAACTTCTTTAATGATTGATAGACCCATACAGAACGGAACCCTTCAGTTCTAGTCTATAAATATCCAAAGATAGAGGCAATTAGGAAAATATAATAGTAATGTATAAAAATAGTAGATACTAAGAAAATTTGGCAATTGGAGTAGGCTGATTCAGATCACATGGTCAGAACGTGATGAGGTAGTTTTATATGCAATAGTAATTTAGAAATAGTAGATACTAAGAAAATTAGGCAATCGGAACAAAGAAATGAACACTTGCTTTCAAAATTATATATACATATTGGAACCAACAATGTAAAGACATGGATTCGGGTACAGTGTTCAAGTATCAAATCTTCACAAATTTAAATCTTATGACATTGAAATATGTATCTAAATATTAAATATAGTTACGAGGATGCGTCCTAGATACACACACATATATATATTACATATGATATAATATTATAAATTATGTAGAAATGTATATGAAATTAGATAGGATCTAGGAGAAAAATATGAAATTTCTATCTTTTATCTATAAAAATATTCTATTACTAAGAACTGTGAGTTCTTATTCAAATATAATAAAAAAAAATTACATAATCGAAGGGTTCAAATTAAATATGGTGTTGGACACACATTCACACTCATACCCTTGTCTTATGACATTGAAATATGTATCTAACTATTAAATATAGTTACAAGGATGCGTCATAGACACACACACACATATATATGTGTATATATTACATATTATGTAATATTATAAATTATGTAGAAATGTATATGACATTAGATAGAATCTAGGAGAAAAATATGAAATTTCTATCTTTTATCTATAAAAGTATTCTATTACTAAGAACTGTGAGTTCTTATTCAAATATAATAAAAAAAAATTACGTAATCGAAGTGTTCAAATTAAATACGGTGTCGGACACACATTCACACTCATACCCTTGTCATATTTGGTGAATTCGAGTATTTTAAATATTCTCACAAGGGAGTGGGAGACAAAAAATTCATATGCCATGGGTACACCAACCGACCTAGTGTACTAAACTTTCTAAGAAAGAGGGTCCACAATTCAGGGGGAGAGATAAAGTTTTAGAGTATACTCAGCTCTCTCACAAGGGGTATTCATTACTGTAATGAAAATAAAGAGAAAAGAAAAGAAAATTACAGGCAGCACAACTATATCTAATAAATAGAATTACATTTCTCTATGCAGTAAGAAATTAGGTAGAGCAAAGCAAATCATGGATTGCTAGACACATCCCAAACCAATATACTCCAAGCATGGTATGAGAACTATGAAAATAGACTAACACTAACTGAGGAGAATTATGCAAATCATAGGAATTGAGGAAGCAGAGTAGATAAGTAGGCAAACTATTCTAGTCCCAAAATGGGAAACACAAAAACCAAAGCTAAAATTGAAGGACCACTCTACAAAACTAACATATAAAAGCATCTTTCCCAGAAAATAGAAAGCTAATCTAGAAACAAAAGGAGCAACTATTGATCTAATGCTAGCAACACTTTTCTAGTCCCAAAATGGGAAATACAAAAAACAAAGCTAAAATTGAAGGACCACTGTACAAAACTAACATAAAAGCTTTCCCAAAAATAGAAAGCTAATCAAGAAACAGCCAAGAGTAACTATTTTTATCCAATGCTAGCAATAATTTTCTGTCCACTTAAGTATTTTCATTTATTTCTTTACAAGCAATAAATTCTGAGGCACCATTCAAAAAGATGCCTGAGATCATGTGGTGTCTATTGTTTGCTAATGACATAAATTAGTTGTCCAAACTACAGGTGAATTTAATGTCAAAATTGTGTGAGAATTAAAATCTAAAAGTTTTGTATCAAGAGAGAGAGCATTTGGTAACGGAAACCTGCTAGTGAGCCTCTCACTTTTTAGTTCCATTAGTAGTTTTCAAAGCCAACAAGTTTGCATATATTTTCTCATCCAATAAACTAAATGCCTGAGTATCTAAAAAATCATTTGTGAAATTACTCTACTATATATTCCAGACTTTTTTTTCATCACTTACATCCAATTCACTTGGTCCAATAATTGATGAAATATATAATTTGTCAAAATTCAACCAAAAATGTGAATTTGTGTGGAAGTATCTTATTCCGTAATGAAGACCATTAGATTCTTTTGCATGAAGTATAATTTTTTTCTCAGTAAGTTTACCGGCATTATAGTTAAGCTAGATCGAAAGCAGAATCATTGTTCATCAATAATCAAGATCAGTAAAACCCAACAAAATTAAGATCAAGCAACTACTGCTAACTAATTAAACTCTCAGTTCACAAACAGAACCCAACTGAATTCATATCAATAAAGAACATTTCAAACCCAAAATTCAACCCAGATCACCTTTGAAATCAGTAAAACCCAACAAAATTAAGATCAAGCAACTAGTACTAACTAAATAAACTCAGTTT